CACTGGGGTGATCTTAAGCATTGCATTAAAAGTCAGGCTTCCTCATATATCTTCATATTGGTTTTATTTAGAGTTCAGTTAGTGTGTTTTATAAGCCCAAAAGACACATTAGGCTAGTTGGCTAACTTTTATAATATGTTAGTTAGAACTTAACTCCAAAAAGCCCCCCCCCCCAGTAGCACATCGGTATGTCTGCGGACTTACAACGCTAGAATCTGGGTTTCGATACCCATGGTGGGCAGAGCACAGATAGCCCATTGTGTAGCTTTGTGCTTAATTACAAACAAACAAAACTCCAAAAGGAAAAACATCTAAACCTATTACAGGATGGATGTTTTGGTTTCTCATGTCCTGCAAATTTAGAGAGTTTGTTTAAAAAAGTTAATTTTTAATTAAATTTCTATCGTTAGGTTTCTTTAGAATTTGCAGATTAATTTTTCACTGGGTAATCAAGATTAATATTACATAATGTAAAAAACAGTGCATATATTATGATTTTGTGTAAATAACGTATGACATCACCACACAAAATAAGTTATAGAGTTCCGTTTCATACTCTATAGCCAGTTTCGAAATAAATCACATACATAAGTTACACCGTTGAGTAAGGTAAGCTCATGAAACATGCCAATTTTGACTTCAGTTTTTACAAACTGATATTTTGAAATTTTAGGCCAACTTCAGAGTTTAAAATCCTTTATGTAATAATAATTTGATCAAAAACATGAATAGAACAAAGAAAAGAACAAGATAAAGCACGGGAAAAAAAAACATGTTGACACTACCTCAGTATAATCAGACCAAACTAGTTTAATACTTACCTTACACTGGTAATTCAGACAATCTTTTTCATCACTCCTGTCATCACAGTCATCATCATGATTACATCTCCAACTTGATGGAATACACTTCTGGTTATCACACTGAAATTCACTTTCTGAACATTCCCGATAAAGGTTTTCTTTTCAAAAAGAAAATGCAACGGACTTTAAGATATCTATTCAAACATTATGCAAAGAGTGGATTTCAAATGTTTTACAAACTGGATATGATTTGTATAAAATCAAATAATATAAATATAATATAAAATACCACTTTGAGAATTCAAAACTGACATTAAAACGATTATTTCAACTGTTGATTATTGACTGAAACATCAATTTCTCACTAAGAATATTTTTAATGAACAATGTTTTAACTACGATTGGAGAACCAACGATAACATGATGATTTTATATAATAATTCTGAAGCTCTCGCTCCATAGACATCTTTTTCAACTGAGAAAACCTTTGAGAAAAACATGTTTAGTTCACTAACCACATGTAGTTGGATCTTCATCCGAGTTATCCCCACAGTCATCTTTGAAATCACAGTGCCATCTAATGGGAATGCATTTGTTGTTGTTGCATTTGAAATCATCCATCTCAAGACATTTAGGACAATAATCAAGATTTGTCTCATCTGAATTGTCTTGACAGTCATTTTTTCCATCACAGAAAAGCCAGGTGGGAATGCACCGATAGTTGTTGTGTGCTGGACACTTTTGCCAACCAAACGGGCAGTTGCGATTTCCTATAAAATACAAGCAACGATAAAACTTCAGGTTATGTACATATAGCAAAGAATCCCAGTAAATGGAATAAACCATCAGAAGACTTAAAATAAGTGAATCTAATTCGACAAATTTGTACATCCTCATGTTATCTCCTGGCAGGAAAACTGGTCAACAATGCCTATGTGACCCAGAACTTTGAACTCCCTTAAGAACACAGGTGGTCAGAGCTCTCTAACTTGAAGTGACTGTTTTTTCACTAAACTACTACACACGATAATGTGTCCTTTTATTACTTTATACATATAATCATCACTGCAAAAAGACACTAATGTCTTTAAAATGCAATACAGTAGTCTGGATTACATTTTATATTAACTAAAATGAAAGCTGTAATATTTTAGTTGTGCTTACTGCATAGATAAGCTGGCTCATCAGAATCGTCTCCACAATCATCATCCAAATCACAGTACCAAAGTTTTGGTATGCATTTCCCACTGTTACATCGAAACTGGACGTCTGAATCACATTCCTGGTGATCTATAAAGAAAAATTTTTTCCAGAGAATCAGAGTAACACTCATCACTGAACTTTCTTTGTACCACGATAAAGACTTCTTACACTAAAGGATTGTTTATTTGTTCAATTTCTGGCAAAACTTCTCAAAGGCTATCTGAGCAGCCATCCCAAATTTTGAAGTGACAGACTAGAAAGAAGGTAGCTAGTCAACACCACCAAGTGCCAACTCTTGGGCTACTCTTATTGACACATACTAAGATTGACTGTCACATTATTACTACCCCATGGTTGAATAGATAAGTATGTTTGGTAGAGGGAAATGAACCCACAATCTGCAAGTAAAGTGCCCTAACCATGTTACAGAATTTACTTTATGTAATCTACAAAAAGCCACATGTCCACTTTAAAACACACCACCCAGATTTTTTCAATTAACTTAATACATAATGCTGCATAACTACAAACTAATCATTTTGATGCGAGATAAAGTTGACCTAAGTGTTACTATAAATGTTCTTTACTTAACACTGATGAGAAACAGACCATATTTCAAAATTATTATACAGATAATTTTTCTTTTATATATGTACACCTAGACACATACATGTGTATGAATTATATTTATACAATAAAATGATTAAACACATGATTACTGTGACTATAACTGACTTCCAATATACATTATCTTGTTTTGTTTGTTTTTTGTTAAGTCTAAAGCTACATAATGGACTATCTGTTCTATACCCACCATGAGTATCAAAACTCAATTTTTAGTGGCATGAACCTTCAGACTTACCATCAAGCCACTGAGGGGAATTATCTTGCACATATTGGAAATAGTGTATATAACAATCAATATTGTATTAGCTTAATGATTTATAAAATTCTCAAAATAACCAAACTATACTGCACCATTCACATGGAAATTCTAAATTATTTAAGACAGCCATGTAGATTTCAAAAACAGGTTAAATACAAAACCCTTGCAGTAAAAAAAAGGGCTAAACTCAGTCTTGATACTGTGGTTACATTTAATGAGTTTTATGTATAAAGCTCAGAAAAACGTTTTCAAAGCAACATAGTTTCCCTCATGAAACTGCATGGTGTAAGCCAGGTCAGTTTATCAACAAAAAATATGTATACTTACGACACACGGCAGGATCTTCATCTGATTTGTCAGAGCAATCATTATCTCCATCACATTGCCAAGACTGAGAAATACAACGACCAGTGTCATTACACTTGATGCTGTGTTCTCCACATGGAAGATCTGTTTAAAGATAAAGAAGCATAAACTTGGTATATAATTCATATTTTAGTACCACCAGAAGCGTTTTATTCTCAACACTTTTACTAGTGACTAAAACAACCTGTAGTCATTCCAAACATGCCCAAAAAACAAATGTAACCGAGGTGCCTATTTTTTGCTTTGAAAAATCAAAGTTTCAGCTTGTTAAAATACATAAGACCCTTTATATACTCACCACAATACCTTTCATCAGAATTATCACCACAGTCATTATTTCCATCACAAACTTGAAGACTGGAGACACATGTTTCATTGTTGTTACACTGATATTGGCCCACTTTACAATGGAATGGAGCTGAAACACAGTGAAAACAGCTTTTTCTAACAGAATGGCATGACCATATGAAATAATAAAATCTACACCTTTTACAAGATTGGAGTTTTGTAGCTCTAGTGTGCCTAATAGAGGATTACATGGCTACATATTATATTTAACATTACAGTAAAGATAAAAAATGCTGTTCTTGATACACAATTTCTCATAATTAGAAAATACATTAAAATGAAGTCTACATTGTAAATTAATTAGAAAAACATTTTGTATCTTATACTGGTCTGATAGCATCCACCAGTGAATTTATAGCATACTTACAATAGTGCTGTCATGATTGTTTTCTCATCTATAAGGTGATACATTGGTTCATATGAAAACTTCAGAAGAAAGTGGTGTGTGTACAGTGTGCACAACCAAGTATGTAACTAACATTGAATATGTAAAGTTCCCACAAAGTTTTGTTTCATACAGGTGAAAGTAGTTATTTTCAACAGCACCTAGTGCAACACATGGGATAAACAGCACCTTGTGCAACACATGTAATAAACAGTACCTTGTGCAACACATGGGATAAACAGCACCTTGTACAACACAAGGAATAAATAGCACCTTGTGCAACACATGGGATAAACAGCACCTTGTGCAACACATGGGATAAACAGCACCGTGTGCAAAATATGGAATAAACAGTACCTTGTGCAACACACGGAATAAACAGTACTTTGTGCAACACAAGGAATAAACAATACTTTGTGCAACACAAGGAATAAACAGTACCTTGTGCAACATATGGAATAAACAGTACCTTGTGCAACACATGGGATAAACAGTGCCTTGTGCAACACAAAGAATAAACATTTTATATATATTGTACACTAAATGAGTTTTTAAAAAAAACCTTTACCTGTTGACTTTTGTGAGACAAGCAATATTATGAAGGAGACAAGTAAAAAGTTCCGTTTAACTTTTACTTGCCTCAGGGGACAAGTAAATTTAACAATATTCTTCTCAGCTTGAGTTATTTATCTTAATTGGCAAAATTCATTAAATTTTCTCAAAGTTTTAAGAATTCAGACACATCACATAAACATAGCAGAAGCAATAAACATAGAAAATACTTACGGCAACCCTTTTCATCTGATTCATCACTACAGTCATTTTTGCCATCACAACGCCAAAGTATGGGAATACACCTATCGTCACTGCCACTACAGCGATGTTGACCACTAGTACAGTTGGCTATACAAGTTACATTATCAAGAAGGATAAACTGATCTGGACAGGCACAGATCCGACCACCACCAGGTGAAAGTAGGCACAAGTGGCTACATTCTCCATTCTTGTTTTCACAAGGGTTGGGATCTATAGTTAATGTATATGTAAGTGTAAACATTTAACTAAAATAAATATAAAAACTTAGCTTATTAAAAGAAGTACATGTTGTGCTTACTGACACAGCAGTAAATTAAGAACCACAATATTTTGTTTAAAATTGCACTCACAAAATTATCAGCAAATTATTTTTCTTTGTATTGGTTTAAACACAATACAAAAACTGTGCTTTGTCAATGGGTTTTTTACTTGTTAATATCCATGTTGGATAATGTTAACATACAAAACTATTGATAGAAGATGAAGGCAGCAACAACAGAAACAAAGTATCTTATAAGATGTGACAGACACCACAAAGACATCTAGATAAAGGATAACAACAGCATCTCTATTAGAAAACTGTTTGGTTGACTATTCCACAAACATACTACAACAATTCTAGACTACTAGATAATAAGAATAGCCCTAAAAATCAATGAAGCCAATAAATAATGCTTCAGAATTTGTTCATACAAAGTATACAATAACAGATACTTACAAGGTAATTGTCTCAATGGATGATAAATATGAATGTCATAAGGTCGATGTGTAGTATTCCTCAAGATTTGAATATTCTCTCCAGTGAACTTGTGGGCTTTGTAAAGTCCTTTTATGTTCCAGTCAGTCCAATACAAGAAGTCATCAAATATCGATAGAGCAAAAACATTTGGGACTATTCTTCCCTGAAGAACAGTGTGTCGATGTTCACCATCCATATCAGAAAACCTACAGAAATGATTACACAAAGTCAAAATGTATGTCTACAAGTATCAGAAAAATAATTTGGAAAAAGTTTACCAATTCCTTGTCTACTAATTATATTGTTCAATTTAAACATTTAAAATTTATTTCCATTAATAGCCAATATTCAGCTACTTTCAAAAGGCAGATACAGAAGAGTTAATCACAGCTGTTTGCTTATCATTAAAAATACCTTCATCTTAAAATTAATTTTATATCCTCAGATAATATAACCAATAATGGTTTTTTCACTTTCACCTTGCAAGAGAAGTAAGTAACTTTAGTAATTATGATATACATTTGCACTTACTCAATATAATCCAAGTGAGCATCTGCCCAAAAAAGTTTATTACTGAAGTAATCAATTGTAAGAGCATTTGGCCATACAAGTTTGTCTTTGAAAGTTATCAGCCGGGAAAAGTTTGACCCATCCAGCCCAATTCGCCCGATGAAAGCATGATGACCCCAATCTGTCATATACAGGTACCTAAAGCAGTTAACTTTTCAGTTAGAGATAAATTTGTGATGAAACTGAACATTAAACTCTTCTTTTTCACTACAAACTTCATTTTTGCTTTATTCAATATGTTGAAGCAAGTTATTATAAAACTCAGATTCTACTTTTATCATTAATATTGAATGATACAAAAAAGAGATTAAAATAAAATCAAAGATAAAAATATTGTATATTATCAAGTTTAGTTAACTGTATAGTTCTGTTTTCTGAGTAAATGTCATCAAATTTGAGTTCAGTTTGACCTCATGGGCATGATAGAATTTGTTTAAAAAACAATATTATTATTTAATTAAAAATTAAATATTATAACAGCTTCATAAAATCATTAAAGATGGTTCTCCAGAGGGACAGCAGTAAGTCTACTGACTTACAGTGCTAAAATGTGGGGTTCAATTCCCCACAGTGAATATAGCAGATAGCCCAGTGTGGCTTTGCTCTAAAACAAACAAACATTACAGATAGTGATGTTTTACATGCTACTGAGTATACTGCTGGTATTTATGGTTTCTCTACATTTGTAGTACAATGACAAAATTTTTCTTATACAATACTTTCCATATACATGGTAGTTCAATTGAATAGTTACATTTAAAACTGGTTATTTAGATGTTTTTGTTAGCCCCAGAAATTTTAAAATCTTTAAATAATTAGAAGTAAACTATTTATCTTGTAATTTAAAAAAATGAGAAAGAAAAATATTACTAAGTATAAACTAAATGATTTAAAATCTCAAGACTGAGTTTCTCAATGATGACAACAGGGTCTGTGATGTTTACTATTACGTTACATATCAGATCATATGGTAAGGTTACATGGAATTCATTTCTATATAAACTTTGTCCTTTTCTTAAACTCCAAACATTGAATTATGAAATACATCTATAAAATACCGGGTAAGGCAATACATGTAGAGCATAATACTGAATTGAACCGAAAAATAAATTTATTAAAATACTAAACTGAAATTTTAGTACAATAATAGTAAAAATGCAAACAATACTGGTTGCCATTACCCAATGCCTGGATGAATGGCTAAGGCCTGTGGGTTAAAGAAGCCTCTCCCAAGTAATGTTTTTCTATTAGTTCCATCAAGCTCAGCAACAGAAAGTTGTTTAGATGTGCTATCTAACCAGTAGATTTTTCTGTAGTGTTAAAAAACGACAAAAGAAACTAGTTACAACTACAAATAAAACATTCTAGTAAGTAGTAACACTGGTGTATGTTATACATATTATTTACTTTCTACAAAATTACCTGTGATCATCATAGGAGATGAACAGCATAACTGTTCAAAAACGTAAAAGTACCTGGAATTAAGTTATATATATCAACAAGCATGAAGATGACTTAACCTCTGACCTTTAAAAATAAGTGGACATCACATGTGGAATGCATGGTTATGTCTTTTAAGATAAGAACCAGGAATAAAAACCCTGAAACAGGCCTAAAGTAATGCTTCTTTTAAATCAAAAATCAGACATTCTATCTCCTAACATAAAATCTTTTAAAAGGTATTTACTTCTAAAATGTCATGTATCTCAGGATATTTTTAGAAAATATATATTAAAAGGGCTACTTTGAAAATATCAAAATTAAAGATCAAATATAAAATTATATGACTTTTATAAGATTCACTTGGCAGCCTGAGAGCTCCCAACATTCATAACACTTAATTCTAGAGAGCTTTACGTTTGATATTATCAAAGTTATGAATCCATAAGTTCCTTATTGGTCTTCTAACCTTCCAATCCAGTCCACACCAAGACCTTCCAAACCATGGGCATTGTGATGTATGATTGTCTCTTCATTTGTTCCATTAATAAATATTCTTCCAATTGTTTCAGTTCCTACATCACAAAAGTATAACCTTTCATCTCGATAGTCAAAATCAAGAGCTACCACATTGTGTAAATCCATTTTGATGAGGTTATAATGAGAGCCATCTACACTCATGTTGCGGAGGTAATAATGATTACTGAAGATAATCCATGGAAAAATATCTAATAGAAAGACAAGTAGAACAGAATAAATGACTAACTAAGAAACAGCTGTAAAACAATATTATGATAGTCAAACATATCATGGACTATTGGACAGAGATACGTTTTAATCATTTTAGGTTTTTGAAATAATATTAATTTTTAGTAATATGCAAATACTTTATACTTTATTCTTGTACAGTTTGTAATTCATAACTACTAAATTTTTGAATTTTTCTTAGTTCTAATTTGGAACATCCTAAATTTAGTTGAGATCATATGCTAAATTCAGTCCAGGGTGTTACTTTCTATAATGGGTTTGAGTTAGCATTACATGGGACCCTTGTATTTCTCCTTATTTTACTCAGAGTATAAACAACTATTTACAAATATTATGTGGAGTAGAGATATCTCTGGATCTTATGATTCATCTTTGTAATTGATCAGCTACAGAAAATGTGCATTATGAATACAGTTTTGGTAGTTTTCGGGTAGATTCCTTTTTATATTCAGATTAGTTTCTGTCTTTAATAATCAAAAACACTTGCTGGTAAAGTTTTGTCTGTGTTTTAACCTTCTATCATTAAATTAACTAGTCATGCGAGTTACCTGCATTAATCTTTAAATAAAACTTACTTTACTTTTGAAATAAATTGATCAAAATGCAATTGTTCTTCCAACAGGTATGGTCAGACATTTTTTTGTTGCCTTTTTTATTTAATGAAGTGTTTATTTTTGTTCATTCAACACTACTTATGCATACTAGGTTCTCAACTCTCCAGTTGTCGTGCGTATCAGGTAATTGTATGCTAAATTTATCCTTGAATTACCACAAATTTATAGAAACTTGCTTGTAAATATGAAACGTCAAAGTATCATAACTTTTATTACTCTAGACTTCAGTTACATTAGCTTACCATCTTTACGTTTACACGTGAGAGAGTCCATTTCTCGTTCATAGTAAGTATCGTTACACTTGCAGTAGTAAGATCCTGGTGTGTTGAGACAATATTGGGAACAACCACCCCATTCCTTGGTACATTCATCAATGTCTTGGCATGCTTTTCCATCTTTCATCAACTGGTAGCCTTCATTACACTCACAGTAGAATCCGGTCAGAGTGTTAACACACTTGTGTTCACACTGATTCGACTCAATACTTGCACATTCATCAACATAACAGTGAGAAGATTCATCTGAGCCATCATCACAGTCCTCTTGCTTGTTGCATACCAATTCATAGTCAATACACTTTCCATTTTTACAAAGGAACTGAGCTCCATTGCAAGTTGGTTCTTTTGTGGTGCACTCTTCAGCTGACTCATCACTTCCATCTCCACAATCATCTTCACCATCACACTGGTAAACCTTAAAGACGCATTTACCATTACGACAGGGGAATTCATCAGAAGAGCAAGTAGGATAAGCTGCAAATGATTGAAAAAATATCGTTAATAATGTACATCATAATTATTTTGAGCTAGAATAACCATTATTTTATTGTGAGATTGATAAAGATTTGTCACTAAAGATTGTAATTTTCCTTGTGTTGACTTATGACATTTACTTCTTGTCAGTTTCTTACATACAACAAGCTTCATTAATTTATTCAATACTTTTTAGTCTCGGTCCACATACTTAGTTTATTTGTGTTAGAAGGTGTTAATAATTTACTGCTAAACAACACATCTTTTACTTTAATGAATAAAAATAGCGAAAATCGTGTTTCTTAAACTATATAGTTCTAATTCATTACAATATAACTATGAGTTAAAACAAATTACTAAATCATACTGCAGTTCTTGGGTTCATCAGATGCATCACCACAATCATTGTCGTGATCACAAACCCATTCTTCACTGATACACCGATGATTATTACATTGGAACTGGTAAGCATTACAAGGTTCAGGGGCAGGACAGTTATGGAGCGAAGTATTTTCATCGGCTCCATCAACACAGTCAGGTTCTCCATCACAAATCCATTGTTTTAAAATGCATGTAGCATGTCCCCATTGTTTGTTCTGAGTGCACGTGAATTCTTTCTCGGGGTCACACTCTCGAGTATCTGAAGCAAACAGTAATTTGTAATGTGTAACATTTCTTCATAGAAATAACTTAAACAAGTACAAATTATGAAGAGAGAAGTTTAATACTAGAGTATTCTATGTAGTTTTTAACAAAATATTTCAGGAACTGCAATGTTTCAACATAAGTTCCTATTCTTCTTTACTGACAAACGCCGACACTTTTACAGCCTATGAGTATGAACAATTATATAATGTATAGACAGCCAATAGGGGTATTAAAATTGTTATTTAAAACACAAAATAAGTAACAATGTTTTGACCCAATTAGGTCAACATCAGACCTGATACTCTGATATATATTTACTTCAAGTGGGTTCCTTGACATCATGAATAGACAGTGATATTTAAAAAATTTGTCTTGTTAGTCTATGTAATCTTAATCTGTTGTTACATATTATTATCATTAGTCAATAAAATATTAAAATAGAATAGTAAACTTTAATAATTTTCCCATTAACGTTATGCATGTTTAGGACATCATTGAAATAATATTTATCAGCTCTTTCTCAATTATTTTGAAGACTTGTGAAGAAAAAGAAGTTGTCAAGTGTAAGCATGAAGTAATAACAGACATCAGATCTGAGAAATTTGATTCAAGTTTGCTTATAGCCAGACATGCAACAAACCATTAAGGTTTATATCAAAATATCAGAATTGTAAAGAATACTCAACTGCTTCTTAATTAATGGCCTGTATGTTGTTAAATTAAGTTTGTTACCCTTAAAAACAAAATTATTTTATTACTAAACATGAACACATACAGTTTTGGAAATAATTACAGAAACAGTGAATAAAATGGGTATGAAATGCAAATATTAGGGAATTGCTCCCTTCTATTATATATATTAAAATAACCTGCAGAGAGTATAGTCAAATGTTTAGAATAACTGTGATTGGCTGTTCTCCAGCCAATCAAACACTGTCACACCAGCATAATGCCTATAAAAGTATAGGTGGTCATAATATTCCCCAGTATTAGTGTGGTGAAAGTACTCATAACACCCAAGACAGAAATGACACACAACAGTGTAGATATAGTTTGTTTGATTGTAGTTAAGCACACAGCTGAACAATTGGCTATCTGTGCTGTGCCCACCATGGGTATTGAAACCTTGGTTTTAGCATAGAAGCCCACAGTATTAGAGCCACTGGGGCTGTAAAAATGGAACTTTTGGCTAGTGAAGGGTTTAGTACTTCATATTATAAACTGAGTTGGTAAAAAACCACCTGAGTTAGAAAGCCCACACTCTTCAAAAGTGATATTAAGTAACTTGGGATATGCTCTATACCTGATAAATGACAATGTAGATCTTGCCAATGACCTAGCTGTACATTTAAGTGTAAATGTTAACTCCAGAACAGTAAGATACACATTACTATGAAGTACCTTCATCTGATGTGTAGTTACTCAAAATATTCCACTTAGGAGAGTTAACCACACCAAAAGATTTTGGCATCAAACTTCAAATAATAGGAAGAACAAGATGTGATGTGGGTGGCATTTACAACAATCAATGGTAGTTTGTTTTATGACAGAGAGGAGAATGGTATCACAATCAACATATATACAGTGGGGACCAATAGGTGTTGTTTTCAACAATCAATGATAGTTTGTTTTATGACAGAGAGGAGAATGGTATCACAATCAACATATATACAGTGGGGACCAATAGATGTAATTTACAACAATCAATGATAGTTTGTTTTATGACAGAGAGGAGAATGGTATCACAATCAACATATGTACAGTGGGGACCTATAGATGTAATTTACAACAATCAATGATAGCTTGTTTCATGATAGAGAGGAGAATGGTATCACAATCAACATATATACAGTGGGGACCAATAGATGTAATTTACAACAATCAATGGTAGTTTGTTTTATGACAGAGAGGAGAATGGTATCACAGTCAACAACCAATACAAGCGTAGGCTACAAGACAGTCATTGGTGTTAGAGATCTACACAAAACTACCAACTGCTGAAGACATACAAGCAAATTCTTATCCTTTATGTCATTCCCACAGGAAACAGACCTGTTGGACAGGGATTCATCTTCCAGCAGTGTGATAAAACAATACCTTAAAGGGGAGAAAAGATGGTTACAGAATGCTCACAAACATAGATTAGAAACTGAGGCCAAACAGCAACCAATCAACTTGGCTCAACTGCAGGAAGTAATGATGAACATTTGGAAGAATATTCTACAACCATACATTAATAAATTTATGGTTATATAAAATTAGGTGTACTGCTCTTTTTAAATCAAATACAAAATATTATCGAATTGTATATTTTATTCATTTTTCTTTTGCATTTTCATAATATTGCATTGTAGTAATGATAAATTGACCATTTAATTGCAATTAATCCTGTATGTGTGTCACCTATGTATCTCTATAATTATTTCCAAGACCTGATGTCACAGAGAGAAAAATAAACATCACCTTACCACACTGATGACGCTCATCCTCATCTGAATTATCTAAACAGTCATTATCACCATCACAGATATGTATACTTGGGATGCAATTTCCATTATCACATGAAAATAAGTCACTGAAACAAGTTCTTGTTTCACTTTCACAATATTCAGAAGGTTCATCTTCGCCATCTTCACAATCCTCTTCACCATCACAGTACCAAGTAGAAGGAATACATTTATGGTTGGTGCATCTGTGAATGATAAATACTTTAAATGATGCTCTTATGTATTCGAAGATTTGGAAAACCCTTAAGTTTTGTATTTGTTTAATATGATAGTGATACTTTGCATGTAAATAAGTAGTGGAAAATTCAAGGCAGTAGACAGAAATTTTTTAGAGTTGTTCCTCTTTGTAAAGATGAGTAATTGTTTCAGAATCAGAATTTCTAGTGATCTTCCCCCAGAAAAGTTTGAAAAACTTAAAGTTTTAGGTTATTATGGAAAAACAAATGACTTTTTACCAAGAACCAAAACTTTAATAATTTTAGTATTTCATGTATCTTTAAATTTAGACATATCTTTTCTTTCTAAAGATTATTAAACTTTATGTAACCACTTTGGAATCCAGAATTTATATTAGTATATGCCTGTTATCTATTGCACTATATTGATACATTAGGGAGGCATGTTTTCCATTAAAGTGTAAGATTGAATAGCATAATCTAGGTTACTGTGTTTCATAGTGGCAATTGTAAAGTTGGGACAAATTCACGTAATTTGACATCACAGATACCCTGTTTATAAACAAATTAAACTACTTATCATTTGGCTAAAACTTTATGACCTAACTTCAGGTTATGCAATAAAATATAGACATTCACACCACTTTTCATGGTGCCTTTACAAAAATAAAACAACTAAGATTCATAGTCATGTAGTGATTTTGTATGAGAGTTGTTTCGATGTTGGTAATATCCTTGAAAGGTAATTTAAATTTGAAGGTCTCCAATTGTACTTATTTCTGTCATTTTTAAGTAAAAACAATGTAGTTACAAACTTATAAATTCCAGGTGCAAAGGCCCCCTTGTGGTACAGTGGTAAGTCTGCAGACTTATAATGCTAAAAACTAGGTTTGGATACCCGTGATAGGCACAGCACACATAGCCCATTGTGTAGTTTTGTGCTTAACTACAAACAAACAAAACAAACCAGATGCAAGGAGTATTTTTTTGCAAACAGTAGACATACTAGTAACTAGTTAATAACCATTTTTGTATTATTTATATTTAAATGAGAAATAATACCAAAATGTATTAAAAATATTTCTCTTTGTGGATATGGTAGTTTTGTACAATCTAATAATGTTCTTGGGTTATTTACAGACAATATGTATACTTCTAATGTATCATTAGATTTACTTTACCTGTACCTGGACCTATTTCACTTATACGTGTTTTCGTGCCAAAGATTTCTTTTTTATAAGTTTCATGAATATGTATGTGTTTGTTACAATTTCATCATTAAACTCTTTGTAGAGTGGAATTATTAGTATCATAAATGTAATTCCATAACATATACAAGTAAGACTTGAAGATAATATATTTTTTGTATTAACATACTTGCTTGTGATATAAACATGAAACTAATTACCCAACAAGATTTGTAATTTCCACCCTATTTACAACAGCTTTTGTGCCACTTTATATATTCATGCTGTCAACAACACGTTACTTTTGAATAATTGTGTATTTTTTTATTCTTGTTTCTTTGTTGTTATATACAAATATAGAAAATGAGCTATCTGTGCTCTACCCACAAAGATTATCAACACCCAATTTTTAGTGTTATAAGCCCTCATTTTATATACATGTTTTTCATTTATTAAAAATACCTTTTTATAAACTCCTGAACCTACAAACCTAAAACTGTAGGCAGGACAGGATGTTTGAGAGCAGAAAAATAAGTTCTCATCAGAATTGTCTCCACAGTCGTTGTCTCCATCACATAACCAATACCGTTCAACACAGATGTTAGTTGCTTCACACTTTATGTAGGCTCCAGGACACGTTCTGTTGTTTGGACAATTGGCATGGCTTTCGTCAGATGCCACATTGTCTCTACAGTCATCTACACCATTACATACTTGAGAATTAGGAATACAACGAAAGTTGGCACAGGTAAACTCACCCTCTGAACAAGGCAGATACTCTGCGAATAGGAATAATTCACACAAATTAAAATCTGTCGTATTTGTGTCCATATAACAGTTGCTTTACATACAATTACTTAAGAGATAAATGACACTGGGGATTTGTATCACCCTACAATTCACAAAAAGATATCAATAATGTGTATGGTTTAAACAGCATTACATAAAAGAATGAGTTTGTAGTTGTCCAGTTAAATTTGAAATGATTTTCTCACTATATAAAAGTATTTCAAGATGTCTAGCATGACTGTGTATTATGTAATTCCACCTTACCTATCTTTAGAAATGGTACCTACACTCTTATGCATTACCTTAAAATAGACCTACCAAAGAGGAAATACAGACAAAAGTAGCTTGATATACAGGAATAACAGGAGTATGTTTGTGTTTCACTGCTTTTTCACATTTTAGTAACAAATTAAGTATGCTATTTTTGTTTTTGTAACGAAGTATTACAAATGGAAGTAAAACAATATACCACAGTCTTGTTCATCTGAGTTATCTTTACAGTCCTTTTCGTGATCACAAAGCCAGACTTTCAAGATACACTGGCCACTTCCACAATGATATTCCTGTGGACTACACGTGCGGATGGCTATGATAAAAACAACAAAAAACATTAGGTACTTAACAGTTTTGTCATTTCCTGGCTATTTAACAAAGTAAATAATTACAGGTAAAAATTAGGTCTGCTTATATTAAGAGAGTGTACACAAAAGTTTAAACCTAGAAGAGGCTTTTTGAAGAATGCTCTTTTGTTTTCCATAAACATTAATGTAGATTACTTGATAGGTAACAAAGTTTATCACCCTACGACAAGCAAAATAAAAATGATATCTATCTTTCTTTGGTAGATTGTTTAAGAAGAGTATTCATGATGAATACATTGAAATAGATGGCAACTGCCTGTTGTAAAAAAGGTACAAGCATAGATAACGATGTTTCAAAAGTCTTTCATCTTCGGGTAAAAGTTCAGATATTTATGTAATCTATAGAATCCCTCTTCATCAAATGTGCTTACAGAATGAAGGCATGAATTACTAAAACACATTTTTTGCACTAATTTCATCATTTATACATTAATTTAATTGACAATAAATACATCGAACTCTTAACATAAAATGTAATAAAAAGTTTACCAGAAAAACTAAATATTTTGTGCTTACAACAAAAATTTTCATTCTCATCAGTGTCGTCACCACAATCGTCAGCTCCGTCACACACCCACTGTCTTGAAAGGCAGTTTCCATTGGCACAGGCAAACTTTGATTCATCACAGTTCACACTGTGTTCTACATAAATACAAACAATTAAAAGGGTGCTCACTAAATTTTTGTCAGTTATTTATTATACTTCCAAGGATGATTCATAGAAAATACTGAATGCTTCGTTATCTAAGAAGAAATTTCATTTCTCTATATATAACTATTTCATCAAATGACATTGTGAAATAAAATGTCCAAAACTACTAAAACATACACAATGATTATTTTTAGTATAGATAAACAAAACATTCACTGTATGTAGTCCTGAAGATAAGTACATACCCACACACATAAGCCCATCATTAGCGACTTTGTACGTGTCATTGCATAAACATTCCACTGTACCATTAGGAGCCTGATGACAGGAGTGGGCACAGCCTCCATTATTCCGACTACAAGCATTCTCTTTACCTAAATGTAAATCACACAGATATTGTTTTATTTATTTAATAAAAACTTACAGTTATAATTGTAGATTTCCTCTGGATCTAAAAAAAAGCAAGTTACATATAAGAAATATTTGTTTATGCATTAGAGCTGGGTGATTAAGTTGATTACCTATGAGATCAATGACATTCATTAGTGTCACATAACATAATCGGTTAAACAAAACTGCCATTAAATCGATTAATATCATAAAAATAATTAGTGATTTGATTATTTTTGTTTCTGATTATTCCAACTGTCAAAATATTGCCATTATGATTTCTTGTTATCATTTTCCATTAGTTCAAGGTTGTAAAACTTAATTGATTAGTGTCACAACTCACAAAAATAATTAACTAATTGAAATTAGTATTTCTGATTACTACTATTTTTGATTATTTCAATTTTTATTTCATGTGATAATAGTCAATTAGGTGATTGTCAAATGCCACTATTCAACGAGCTGTTGTATACATATTAAAAATTCAATAACTAAGTCATAGTAATTGCACTTATATATTTACTAAGTTTTTATCTAAAACTTTAAACCTTGGACTGAAAGTGAAAAATTAACTTGTGTACAATATTGCACAAATGTATTGCTCTCTATTTCCTGTTTTCCCATTTCATATAGTTGTTGCCATGTGCTATAATTCTTAATCTATATTTATACAACTTACAATAAAACAAAGCAACTTTTTGATACTCTTATTCTGTACTTTGATTTTGTGATTTGAAATTATGCATTTCTTAGATATTTGTCAAAACATCTTTTTTTCTTACATGTCTGCCTGTCTGGAGCAAAAATTTGAATGTCTTTTGGAGATTCCTCGAGTCCTTTGACCATCTCTATTAGCCCACTACCGGTATATTTGTCAGCCCTATAAATTCCTCCTACAGAAAAGAATCAGGAGAACTTTTAAAAATACTTTACATCTTAGCTATTAAAAAATGTAGCAGAATGAAAAAGTTTTAGTTCTAAACTCAAAACAAAGCATGTTTCCTTAACTGTCATATCATCAAACTAGCAAATGTAATCTCCAAAAACCCAGAAAACAATAAACAGTAGCAAATATTTGTATTATACTTACTTAACTGAAGATCTGTCCAATAGATGAAACCTCCAAACACAGTTATTGCAAAAGGATAAACAGTAGCAAACACCAGTGTTTCCCTGTTCATTCCATCCATATCTGATCTTTCTATTTTCTCCCTGTGTTAACAAAAACACAAAATGTTTATTGATACAGAGACAAAATCATCAAAATATAATAACTGCAACAAATAAAACTAGAATTACTAGAAACAAGGAAGTGTAAAAACATTCAAGATAATTTTATAGCTCTAGAAAGATTGTCAAATAAAACTTGAGTTACTTTTAACACACATACAATAATTAGCAAAAACCTTAAGCAATTTTAAACAAATATTCCTTATTAAATTATTAAATATTTAAATGCACTCACTTACTCTCACTTTTTAAATTAAATTGCTTCGTTAATGGTGAATTTTGTATTTAGTGCATAATTTAAACGATTATTGATAAATGCAAGTTTTCTGGACATTAGGTACACTATTGAGGAGACACACTAACTGGCAATTAATCCACTGGGTAAAGTAATTTGGACTAATCAGAAGTGGGCTAAGTACTTAATGTCACTTAAGCTAATGATAAGGTGTGTGTATTCCTGAGATTTGTTTATGCTAAAGCTCAGCCTCAGATTTTTTAGACTTCTGTTTATCACTAATGTTTAACATGTTGAATAAATTTTCAAATTCTCAAGTTTTACATCCTGCGAGTTATTTGTTGCAATGACTTTAATGTGTGTGTGTGTGTGTACAGAGGGAGAGGACTTGCATACTGGTGTATATACATGGCCATAACCAGAGATATAAATTTACCAGGAAAAGAAATGACAATCAGCT